AATAAATAAATAAATAAATAAATAAATAAAATAAGCTACTTCTCTAGCTACTCAGAACTAGAGGGGTGAAGACAAGATAAAATGGTTCCATCTTCATCCTTTATCTTTATGTGGACAGGAAGATGTAGAGAAATGTATTCTGCCATCACATCTAACATTCTAAAGTTCCCCTACTTCAGTCTTCTGCCTCAGCTTAGTATGTCATGAAGTGCAATGAGAAGGACTCAGACCATTCCTCAGGCAGCTGCAAGCTCCAACATCAATTCCAGTTTCAGACTAACTTCATTTGTCATACTGCATAGTAGTCTGATTCTTCTCACCCCAAGGCAGTAAGATTACTGAACTCTGGATATAAGCATGTTTTCATGGGGAGATATCTTCATAGGAATTGTACTTGAGGTTACTAAATGATAGAAATAAATTTTGACATATGACTGTCTTCTCTATTATGTATTATGTGTCAAATTCTTGTGAGTTTTGACCTGGCTTCTGCTAAAAACAAAAACAAAACCCATAATCTAATAAGATAAGTTTCATATTCTGTCCCTATCTGTCCCAACATTCATTTTCTTATTCAATATTGTACAGTATAAAGACTTAGTATTAGTAAGATTCAAACAATAAGTTGCAGGGCAGCCTCTGTTAAATACCTGGTATTTGTTCCAGCTGACATAGTATGGTTAGCAGTAGTGGTTCCTTTATGGCCTTGATCACAGCGACTCATCTGAGGTGCAGTCATTGGCCTGTTAATGGCAGTAGTAGTAGCAGTGCAGTAATTAGTAGAAGTAGCAGTAATAGAAGAATCTTAGTGTTGGAAAAGCTATTTGGGACACCAAGTTCAGCCCTCTGCTTAAATTCAAATTAAAGCTTCAACTTGTTGAGCCTCAACTTAACACATCCAGCAAAGAGGAGATCACCACCTTGCTCATCAACTGACCTCACTGCCAGATTATTTTTAGAGTTGGGAAATTATTCTAAGATTCAACTGGAATTAGCCAACCTATATCTTAAATCTATCAGTCAATGTCCTGCCTTCAGAAACAACAGAAAACAGGTCTTTTCAATGTAACCTTTTTTTCAGGTATTCAAAGAGCACGATCAGGTCCTTATTCTCAATTTTCCCAAGCTGAACACTCAGTTCCTTCAATCTCTCTTCATAGGCCTTAATTATTAATGATCTCATTCCTTCTAAGTGAGGCCCCTGGAATCAACCTAGAACTCACAATACAGTCCGACTATATAAATGAAATAATAAAGTAGAACTATTATTTCTTTTGATGTGGAAACTGTGTTTTGTCGCTCCACTATCATTAGACTTTTTGTGTTATAATAGTCTTTTTTGCTGATCTTGAAAGGGGTAGACTTGGAAAGGAGAACTCCAGAAAACTCTGGAGATAACAGGACATTGTTTGAACTAAATAAGTAAACAAACAAATGAATAACCATGCCATAAATAGGCAATTCCAAAATGACAAAATGCATACATGTCCCAAGAGTTAAGCTCAACCTAAGAAACTGTTTATCTTTATTAAATGTCATTGTATTACTTTCCGGAAAAGGAGGAAAAGAAATTCTGGATGGCAAATGCTGAATCTGCATTAATTAATCTGTGATTAAAATCCATCAGATAGATCCTACTTTGACACACATACACACCCAACCTAATTTTCAGCGAAATAGATTTTGTGGGGATTTAATTCTGAAATGGATAAATGCAACCTTCTATATTTTATAATGCAGATTTGAATAGTACTCATTTTAATTCTTGTTCTTGTACATACATACATACATACATACATACATACATGCATGCATACATACATACATACATATAATGGCATACAATTGTTTTCACCATGGGCAGGAACATAAAATGCTCATCTTTTTTTCTCCTTGGGCCCTGCAAGGTCATAAGCAAGTAAGAGGTGTAGCTCACCGAGTAAGAACTTCCACACTGTACAAAAGCGCTTGCAAGGATGTCGCAAGAGCAGCTGTAGCAGCAATCTCTTCTCGAGCAGCTGTCACAGTTTCCACTTGAGAGGTTTGCCTCTTAAGTTTCTGCAAGTAACAGGGCACTAGAGCTTCAAGGACCATCAGCATCTGAAGACTGAAACAAGGTAGATCATGTAACGATGCTATCAATGTGAGGTTATATCCAGAAGTACAATACCCCTCAGTTCAGTAGAAACCCATTTTTGTCTGCAGGAAAAGGGACTGTGCATACTAGTTCTTGTGAATATTAGGACACCATCACTGCCAGAACAAATTTGGACCTGCAAAAAAAAATCTTGTTTTTTTATTAAGAATAACAATATCTTCCCAAAAATGTAATAAAATGAAACAGCAAGTAACTGAAAAAATGTTAAAGGACAAGACAGTTTGAGAAGGCAAAAAGAGGGAGATGTTTGTTTCCAGTGTGGTGTGGTTGAAGCAACCAGCAATAAGTGATTTTTCCCTGTTACTCAGAGAAGCCAAGCATCATCTAACTAGGTTCTATGGCTAAGCTTGAGGAGACAATGAACATAGGTAGAAGTTACAAGGCCAGATAGAATAATCTTTGTACTCGGAAACAGTAATGGCATTCTTCCAATCATTAGACACAGAGACAAACATCTTGAATGTCAGGGAAATAATAAATAAAATAAAAATAAAAATCCTTGAATAATCCTTGAATGAAGAGAAAAGTTTTAAAAGGTTTAAATAATAAATGCATTGTGCAAATTTAAAATCTATAAATTTGAACAACAGATTGTTATTATACTTGTTTGAAAATTCAATTGGGAATTAACCAAGAAATAGTTGTTACCTTCTGAAAGACTCAGGTGCATATGCCACAACTGTTACACATAACTTGATGGCTTCACTGATTGAAAATGTCAGATCCTCATTGCCATAACAGAAATCTGAAATATACAAAATAGAACATAACAGGGTATCTACAATATGAAAATATTGTGTCATGAGAGATAAAATCAAAAAACATCTATGTCTTTTGCTTTAGGCAACTAATTCATGTTCAGTCTCTGTACATTTATACAATGCCTATAAATTGTATCAAAGTAGAATTGATCATTAGTCATAATTCATAAATTCTGTTAAGATGCCTTTCACTTTAGAATTTAAGGCATAGACATTCATCTAAAAAAGTTAGCAGCACTTCTAAATAAGCATGGGTGGGATTACCTGATCAGGCTGCAATCCTATTACCATTTATCTGGCACTTAACCCCACTGAAGACTTGTTTTGTTATGTGACTGTACAGTAAAACTTATTAGGAAAATTCATTAAAACATAAGTGAGAAAAGAAATTTTTTAACATTAGAAAATATATAGAGAGAACAAGATACAGTACAAGAATATAAAGTAAAGAATATAAAGGCCAAGAATACAGGTAGAAACAATTTATATAATACAATTATAAACCAGTTTAGACCTCTTTAGAATTTTGTTTCTTTAAAAACAAAAAGGTAGTCCTCAGCTTACAACCACAATTGAGCTCAGAATTTCTGTTGCTAAGTGAGGCATTTGTTACGTGAATTTTGCACCATTTTACAATCTTTCTTGCCACAGCTGTTAAGTGAATTACTGCAGTTGTTAAGTTAGTGACATAGCTGTTAAGTGAATCTGGCTTTCCCATTGACTTTGCTTATCAGAAAGTCGCAAAAGGGGATCACGTGACCCCGGGACGCTGCAACCCACCAAAAATACGAGTCAGTTGCCAAGCGTCTGAATTTTGATCACGTGACCATGGAGATGCTGCAATGGTTCATAAGTGTGAAAAATGGTTATAAGTCACTTTTTCAGTGCCATTGTAACTTTGAATGATCACTAAATGAACTGTTGTAAGTTGAGGATGACCTGTAAAAGGTGTTTCTTTGTGGAGGAAAATCATAGGGTTTAAAACAGTGATTGGCTAATCATTTACTGAATAGTGGCAGACCAGAAGATCCTGCATAGTCTAAGTAATGTAGTATGGTCCTGATCATTTAAAAAAAACTTTTTTTATTTGGTTTTTTATTTAACATTTTAATGTTTATGTTTATGTTTATAGGAATAATAAAAGCAGAAATATATTTATTTCACAAGAAAAATGGCAATTTATTTTAAAAAAAAACTGAAAATACCTAGTGATTTTAGGGGCTTCTCTGCTTTTACCAATTCTAGAATATCCAGGTTGTCAGAAGTATCTCCTTCTAAGGATTGCAGAAGATCAAACAGGCACTGAGCAGACACTCCCTTGCTGGGTCCATTGTATGCAGCATCCTGCAGTGAAGAAAGCAATGTTGTTCTATTTACTTGTTTGTTTACCTATTGGATTTCAAGGCTGCCCTAACCCAAAAGGACCCTGGGTGGCTTACAATTTTTAAAAGGATGCACAATGTTTTTTTTAAAAAGGAACATTGACACCCAGTGAAAACCGCTTATATCCCACTCATATGTTTATGTCAATTGAGGTAAGCAACACTAGTTTTGAATATGTGAGAATTTTATACAAGAGTTGCAAACTTTAGTCTTTATGTACAGAGGGTTATATAGCAAAATCTAAGAAATCCCAAGGTGGTCTGATTTTGTGAAATGAGCTATGTAAAATCAAGGTGATGAATGGGCAATCTTGATGGTGCATGAAACAAATTATTGCATTTTGTATTTTTTTTTAATGTTATTTTATTTAATTGCCAGATACAATCCTAGAGACTGTGCCCTGAAGATATTCTTTGCTGTATAAATGAAGCTATTATTGGTGCCAAAGTCAGTTTACTTCCCATCACAGAGGATGTTTCCCTGTGATGGCTTTCATTAAGAGTTTTAATGGTTTCAGAAACATTATTAATGCTGATGGTTTAAGAAGGCCAACAGGAAATTTTAAAAATTCTAAAACATCTATACATTGCAAAAACAAATGAATATCTTCAAAAGAATGTTCACATTTTAATTCCCATTTAACATGTAGAACACAATCTTCATGGCCCATATATTTATAAATATCAAAACTGAGATGTGAAGCTGAAGATGAAGGCTCACCATTCCCACTTACCCAGAACTATGCCTTTTCTGTCGTGTCCAAATATTCACTTTAACTAGCGCATGCTTAGGCAAAAATCACGGGATTAGCAGATTTTTATTTATTTATATATTTAACACTATTTAACTTATGCATAGATGTGTCTCTCCATGTAGACACAAAAGGCTGGAGATGCAGGGAATATCAGTGTTTTTGTTGATGGGAGAATGTCAGCCTTGGAAGAGAGAATTTTCTAGACAGGAGACCAGAATTGCTGAAAATGTGAGCAAGCCTTCAAGGAATAAAATAAGGTGGGCTTAGAAAAGGAAAGCTAAAGCTTCTCTGCATAAGAGAGTCAGTGAAAAAAGAGCATGCAGGACTGATGTGGGATAAACCAGTATAACTGGTTTATACCATCAGAAAACAATGAAAACAATTTTCATACAGCAGTTGGCTGATACTCACAGGAAATTCGAGAAGTGGAGCAACACTAGCAAACAATTGCAGCACAAAAGGCTTACGATGTAGAATGTAAAACTGACGACAGGCAAACTCAATTGCTTGACGGAGCTGTGGATTACTCTCATAGTCAGCGTAT